TCTCTACCTAGGTTTTATACTTGTCAGCATTCATAAGTCCAAGACGTATAGACAGCCATGAAGGAACTAGCCTTTTCCTTCAGTTAAGTGAGCCTGAGTCAGTGTTGAAATTATCGATTTTAACAAATAGTAATCCAGATCTACTGCAGGAATCGATTGGGTAGGTTAATCAGTTACATAGTTTAACAGTCCTGAATATACATTCCTGATGACAGTCTGTCGATCAAGGTAGCAGCAACACTCGTCACTCATTGGTGAACCATTCGTGTAGTTATTCCAATCTTACAATCTACTAGTGTTAGACTGAATTCCTACCCAGTTCATATCTATGCAGATATTTTTCACACATAGATATTGCCTTGCAGCTGATAACTCATTAAGTCACTCTATTTTACACTAAAATATGTGAATAGACAAATCACCTGGGCTGAATATAACACTAACTTCATTGATCCATCTCACTTTTTATCAACAATATACGCCATAATATGAGCATAAAAAGTAACAAAAACTATACTTAGATCAGATTCCGAGAACCTTAGCACAGTTTAAGGAGGTAGAAAACAAATTGGCAATCACACTGAAGTCTATAGAAATGAGTCATAAAATTGACTTTGATGGAACCAAGATTCTACAATAAAGATTGACAACCAAAGGCTCAACATTTATATAGGTAAATCCAGATAGTTTGAACAGATGAGAAGCAGTAGAGTTAGTTGCCTGTTGGCAATTACTAATTTTCATATATTTAGTTCCCATGACAGATTTGAACAATGCAAGAACAAAGACATTTTTAGAAGAAAATATCAGCTCATTTCTTATTTCATCGCCTTTCATCAACTGCAAACAGCCAACAATTGAAATAAAGTATAAGTAGTGGTAATTATGGCATAACATACTTTAATTATGTAGAAATAAACAGAGATTTGAAATTCAGGATTAACAATAAGGTGGTTGTGAGTGAGTCAAGGAAACACGAGATTAATCATAACAAATCTTAGTCAAAATCAATGGCAATTTATGCCTGATTAGATAGATAATTCTGGAACTGTAGAGTAGGGGGTTGGGCTGTCAATAGATGAAAATCAGTGTAAAAATAAAGGGAGTGTTAAAGAGCTAGTACGTTAGGTTATTACACGAGAGAGCTGAGAAATCATTAAGCGATTAACAGTCAGTATATAATTGATGAAGAGATGATGAAATCAAAAGAAAGGGGAAGACTATTTAAATAGAAATGCAAAAAATTATCTACGGTTACCAAGATATAAAGAAATTTTCATTATAGTCTCTTTCTGAGTATATAAGTCAGGTTGAAAATGTTTGATAATGATAGCTTCTGTAGGCTATTTTGCAGCTGATGAAAGGCTATGAGTTCATTTTATGCTCCAAATTACTTCTGACTTTACCTTCAATATCAACCTTAACTTCATTATCTCTGCACCAGCAACAATATACAATCTGGATTGATTTAGCTTCATTATTATCAATAACATCAACTCTAACATGACTACCATTCATCGGTTCTCTATTCTGATATGTCAATAAAAACATTTGTTAATTCTATTCAGCCCCATATACCAAGTGAAATGAAATACGCATCCACCTGATATACCCAATTTTACTCGGTTGATTACAATAGCAACTGTGATGTTTCTGTCATACAGCACACATACACACACACACTAACCATACAACAAGAGACATACAGTTTCACTCTGAATGATTACGTAATCATATTTTAGAAAGACAATGACTTTTGCAAAGAGGACTGGACAAGGAGATGAAGTACACATGTTTGCATTCATTTATTTATAAATATGTTTGATAATTTCTCTGAAGAAGCTTGCAGCAGACTTCTGTGTGAAACATTTGAAGTTATTTTATTTTAAACAGTCTATAACTAACACAAGTCTAAACTATATCTAATGTAAATCTTTTACTCATAATCCAACATTTGGTATACTATTTGGTTGAATATTGGTTATATAGTTCCTACAAAATGTAATCAGAAATATCTACATCATCATGACTATCAATATTATTGTTATTATCACATAGTATATGTTAAGGTATGTACAGCTTGGAAATGAATTCCCTGAAAACAGTCACCTGACTGAATATCTTGTGGTTGCTGGTTCGAATCCGGCCGTGGTCCAGATTTTCATCAGTACAATTATTAAATTATTATTTTACCTTATCACATCCTATTTTCACCTTTCATATAAAAATGCATTACCATATACAATACATTTCTCAGATAATCTCCATCTTATGGAAATTTAATTTCCTTCGAGTATACACCCTCTATCTATGATCGTATACTACTGAACGATGTGACAGACCGATGGTGTTTTGTACAAGTATTCCATCTAATTATCAAAAGGTTTATTAATTCATACTACTTCATTCATTGCTCTTTATGCGTTTCGATATTTTAGGTCATACATGAGACGTAGAACATAAATGAACACTAATTAGCCAGTTGAATGAATGATTTCAGGACATATTTATTAGGAATTTTGATCAATTATGTTACATTAAGCTTGTTCACAATACACTGAGAAATCCAGTCTATTCTGAAAACGATCGTCTTGTAGTCATTCAAAGCCCTGTTTGATAATCTCTAGATGTAACTAAAAGAAGTGATCGAGTTTGAAGATCAAATTTCGTTCACCCAAACTATTAACTTGTGTACTTCATGATATATGAATCGGTCAGTACTGGTATTTGGTACTTTTGTGGTCTTATTGATTAGATGGTATTCACCGGGAAGCCCATTATGTTGGTAAGGGGTGAGTGCAACCATCAAGAAAGTGATGATTCTTCGACCATTCATCAGTGGTGTCAGAAAATTGACCAGTAGCTTCTTCAGGTGGCAACTGACCTAGTTTACAACTGGATTAGGTACACAAATCAGTTAACAGTTGCTCAATCGTTAGTATCAAACGTTAATGGAAGTTGATTAAGTAGGTTATCTCTTCTATGATCATATAACAACCTTCATATCCGTCTTGTATAATATGTTGACTTGTAGAACACAAATACGTTTTTATCTACATTGAACAGTTCTGTGTATTCTTGTCCTGGTTATAACTAACTATGAGCTCCATTGACAGCGCTACATAATTCTATATCCAAGCAAAACAAAACATTCAGTTTTAATACTGTGACATCACTAGCACATCATGATTGTCTAAAGTCACTGTGCAATGAAAATGCCGATGAGCACAAGAATCATTCTCTGTTCATATCACTATCATACAAACAGTGCAGCATAGCCATACTTTCATTCATCATCTTTCCTTCATTAAATAAGCATATAGGTTAGTTGGAAACTATTTGAAATTGTATTAGTTCAGCGCTGTTGAATTCACTCACTATAATCATTACACATTAGCAACCATAATAGAATTACTTAGATAATATAGAACAGCTCTGCATTTATACTTATGCCTACTTCTCTATATAAACAAAGGTGACCAAGGTATTCTTTGCTAAGATTCAATCGACATAAAACCTATTACATTTATATTTTACCAATGACAGAGTAGATTTCAACGATTAGCAAAGTTCAAACTTGTGGAAAACAAAAATCCTACGTGTACCGTCCAACCCTATTTGCCTACGAACTGACTGACATACATATGCATCTCATATACCCAATTGTAATTATAAAAATCGCCGGTTGATTACAATAGCAACTGTGATGTTTCTGTCACATACTAATAATCAACGAGAATATGAACAGCACACACACACACACACTAACCATACAACAAGAGACATACAATTTCACTCTGGGTGATTACGTAATCATATTTTAGAAAGACAATGACTATGCAAAGAGGACTGGACAAGGAGAGATGAAGTACACATGTTTGCATTCATTTGCATTTATTTCACTTTAAACATGCTATGACACTTAGGTAACTTTTTGTAAAGCTGATATTCCTTACGGATTGACATTCATTGGAAAATTCATGTTTCTTATGTAATTCTGATTTCTCTAGATGATCTATCAACTGAAACTTCTTCTACTTTGATTATATGAAAGAGAGCATAAATCTATTTTAGTTCCTTCTTCAGATGTATCGCTTTTTTAAACATCCAAGATCCGCTCTGTATCATTCTTATTCCAAAGTGTTAGATGTTAATTTGATAAGTAAAGCTCCAGTTAATATGTCATCAACTCTTTGCACCGGATTAAATCCATTTTAAAGATTAAAACTCTGTCTAACTGTAATGCGCAATAGGGTTCGTAATTCTATATCTCGGCTATGGTGGGATTCCAAATAGTGGTCACAGCCTTTTCGTCCAGATGTTGTATCAACTAAGTGATGAAACTAGACTGGTCAGTCACCATAGGTTTCGTCTGATTGCTTTAAGAATTCGTGATGCATTACTGCTGCTTGATGGTAAGTACTCACACAGCCTATCCAATCGAGACTTTTCATCCTGATTCAGATCATTTTGAATTAGGGAAATGGAACATCATACTGATTATCGTTTGACTATCAGAGATAGCCATGGTTTGACAGACCAGTACTGATATTGGGTAATGAACATCATAAACATGACAGTTGCTGGTTTAAATATCACAGCAGCCCAAACTTTCATTTCACCTTCCATTTTCACCTAGTATGAATACTAGTCTGCCAAACCATGATTACTGTCTTATTTAGCTAGTCAAAATGATAATTCTATATTAATCTAATTTTCTACATGATGCCATTGTTCCGCTTGCCATCATGTGCGTGATTACGTAATAGGTTATGAACAGTGTGATCTTAAAGGCCAAATTAGGTTTGTTGAAACCAAGACAAAGACAGGCTGTAGACAGATGTATAGCGCAGAAAAGAATATTGACTGATCCAGACTATATGTTAAGTTCATAACTGATAATAATCATCAAAAAGTAAAATACGCTACTCGATTTGTTGTAATAGACTAATATAAAAGCAACTAAACACAGCAGAAAAAAATATAACTAATTTACTTACCATTGTATTGTTTGTCTCTTTCTTGGCAAGAACAACTGTCCAAAGTGGTTCTGAATAATCACCAGTTAGTATGCCTTTTTGTCGTCTAGAATTATCTAAACTTTTCCAAGCCAACTGTTTGAACATATTTCTAAAAGAATTTGATTTCTGTATTGTCGACTCTTTTTCATCCACTGATTCTTGTTATTTAGAAAATAGACAGGTAGGGAGAAGGGGAGAGGAAGGGAGAAACATGTTTAAGTCAAGTAGATTATTATTATTATTATTTATTTGAACAAGTAATTTTATTCTGTGTATTTTACCGCAGTGAATAGACTAGTTCCGGTGGTTACACGGGCACTGTGAACAGATCTCCTGACATCGCCTGCGGTTTCACTTCAACATTACTAACTTGATGATAATTAGCCACGATATTCAGGTCATTCGATTCAACACTCAACAGAACTGAATGTACCAATTTGACTCAGGTCTCAGTGCTTAGATTATCAGTAACTAAAATGCATGTATGCCTATTTGACAGCCATCAACAAGGAAATGATATAAATATTGATTACTTCGTCCAACTACTTACGCAAACTATATAAGTAGTATCACCTGCATGCGAAACTGTATTTATGGATTTCCTTTCATCTAGGCGATACCTGTTCGGATCTCACAGGAAAGTCATTAGTCCCCTCACTGTTGCACATACATCTTGCTGACGAGTGCCAACAGGCATGAAAACTTAGTTCCAGGGCTATCTGACGATCCCCCCCCCACCCCCGACTAACCAATATCTACCCATCTGCACCACGATGCGAATCCCCCTAGCTTAGTAACCACATTGAAAATATGATTAATAGAATTCAGTCTACACTTTGGACTAGACAACATGAAGTTGGTTACTCCCCAACGACTAATTAAATAATCAACTTTACGGTTCACTAGATGAAACTATCTGAGATAGACGTGGCTTGGCAGACTTGGTTTTAATGATACAGGTGATGGATGACTGAAAGTCAAAGAAAAATCTTTGTGGTTAAAGGATTTGAATTATCAAACTTCATGTTGCTGGCCTACCTGTATCAGTATGACGATAATGATGAACAGAGAGTCACGGAAACACATTCACACGATAACTAGATAAAATCGTCAACGTTTTCAGTGAACTTGAGACCTGATTAGTACCCAAGTGTTGTACCTTAGGTTTTAGAGTATAAAAATAATCTGATCTGTTTAGTGAGTTAATTTTGAGATCAAAATTAAAAGTGATCAAAAAATCAACAAAGCCATCGATAAAAAGTTTTATAAGATCACTGAAAAGGAAGAGAATACAAAGAAGTGAAACCAGGTCATAACAACTATCGATTGCCAGGCAAAATGATAATGGAAACACGAAATTAAATTTAAAATCTCAATATCATAGGGTAAATTACAAGTCCTTCTGAAAGAATATCTAACCAAATTTAAGTCTAAAAAATGGACTTTAGTAAAACAGTCTTGTTGCCTTCCGTTATTAAATAAACAAATAGACACAGGTTACTTCATCTGAACACTACATAGGATCTCATGGAATCCACCTTTATTTATTCTTGCATTCTAAAATTGGGTGCTTTTTTTATCCTACTGACTGTCATCAGTTGGAGGAGCATTGGAAACCTGGGGACACTTGACAGCCATTTCGTCTTAGTATGTGACTCCACAGAAGTTCCCGCCCAAGACCCTGCCAGAGATCAGTAAATAAATCCCTACAAATCTCAAAATCGAATCAATCTAGTTCTCATTGATGACTAGTTTTGAGATATGATTCCTGACGTTCCAATGAGAAGTTGTGACCAGTAGAGTCAAACAAGTTGAACATGAGGGCAGTTACTCAGCGTTGGTATTCGATGGAGGTTGCACTATATCGTGAACTGACAGAAGTAGGAAATATGGACTACTAGATTCCGACCCAGTGGCTCAATGGTAACGTGTTGGCTGTGGAACCTAAAAATCATAAACTCGATCCCGGCGGAGTCAGCAGTCCAGTAGCAGAATGAAATAGCTGCCCAATATGCCCAGACTTCTAATATTTCTCCAACTGATGTCAGTCAGTTCATGATGAATACCAACTTGAAATAAATAAATCCCCACAAACCTCAGAATTGAATTATCTCACATGATTATGACCGAAGTAGATATTTTGATGACTTGTTATGTTGTACAGACAGTAGTTTATCTGTAACGATACAGTTCAAAGATGTGCTACTCCTCTTAGGTTCACATAGTGCTTCCTTCTGCTCGATGATATTCAATGTTGTCTTGAATATGCACATGGCTTTTCTTACCAATAATTTATTTCTATTCAAAAATCATTGAAGTAATAAGGTGGATAGATTGCTTGAAGAATCAAGCTAGCAGTGATATATACAAGTAGAAGTGCACCACTATAGATGATGTCTTGAATAAGTATAAATTATGACTAATCACATTACGATCGCAACCCAATAGCTGCTACTTTAGAGTGGTGATTTAGCTAGGATGGTGTGAATATTTTCTTCTTGAAGTCTTGTCATACTAGTAAGATCTGTTGAACAGGAGTATACTAAAGCTGCCTTTCCTACATGTACGACTATAAGTACGCCAAATAAGTGAATTTTTCTGAACAGTATATGTAGTTTTAGTGTTATTCCTTGTATTATACCGTCGTTGATTGGACAGAATTGATCGGTCTCTATTGGCATATGGGCTCCCGTGCGGATTCTTCGATAAACTTGGATTCCACTACTAGCCATTATCCATCTTAACTATAAGTATATGTAGTTTATTACAATTCAGAAGGTTAAACAGATACAATGAACTTAATTAAGATAATCTAAACAGAGAACGATTCCTTTGTTGATTCTAAATCGATTTTATAAACTGTGATCGAGAACTTGACACCACAAGAGTTTGATCAGCCGAGAATGTGTACACCCATTCATAATTTCAGAGAAGTGTTCATATTAATTTGGTTAACGTCAAGTGTCACTAGTCTCTGCATACTAGACCCTCAAATTCAAGACTCTCTTTAAAGCTATGAAAAATCTGTAGACCAAGCGAAATTCGACGTATGTGATAATGATAAGCATTCCTTTATCTAACTTTTATACTTCACGAAAGTAGTTAATAGGTGATGTCTGCTACCGTGATCCTACTGATATCTTGAATTTTCAACTCTTCTCTTCGCTTAGTAGATGACGAGGAAGTGATTTCGTAGAAATGTAAACATTGTATGAATTTCTATCCTGTCAATAAAACTGTTGCAACAAACCTTTATATTTCAGGCTTTTCTTAGAATTTTTCACAAGGCTTTTAAGTCTGTAAAAGTTTTCTATTACTTCTTTTTTATCTTGGTTAGATCCTGAATACTTTCTTTAAAATGATATGTAACTTGTTGACACAAGCACTGGACTTTAAACCAGTGGATTTAACTTCTATTTGGTAGACAGGTAAGTTCCACTAGTCGTCAAATAGTCAGTATGGCTTCTACTGTAGAACATAAAAATTATCGCTACAGTTCAGAAGTCATTTGATATTCTTCTATCAAAACGAACAAGAAAAGTATGTGAACAGGGTAATACACACATTTCTTCAGCTTTGTCCCTATTCAGTACAAACGGAGTTCAATAAAAACTCTAAATTACAGAATAAAAGGTAAATGTTCGGTACATATAACTGAGAAGGAATTGACAACTTTTCACAACAAGTTAATTGAAAATGGCTATCCTGATGCATTCATTAAAAAAAAACATGTGATCACAAAAATGGCAACAAAGGATATTCCAATAGAAAACCACTACACATTCACGTACAATTTAGAGGTGATATACTCACAAACTGCCTAGATCAATTCAGAGAATCTTTAATGCTGGCAAATTACAAATTACCTTTGCCATAAGCATAGTGATGACACGAAGACGGCTTAAAGCTGAACTGCCTACACTATCCACTTCCAGTTATGTTCGTCAGCCCGTCTACACCTGTACCTCAGGCTGTGCTCTAAGAATTTGATTTTCCACGCTAGCAACCACCTACTAGCTTGGTAAAGTAAAGGCGCGGCAGAGACCATTATCCGCTCCATATTAGCATACTTGGTTGAAATGATCTATACAGGGGATATAAATGAGCTGTTTTCCATCCTCTACCGGGTTCTCATCAACTCACCAAAAAAGTAACCGACTCTGAGTCTGTAAGACTGTAGAAGTAGTAGCAGTCAGGATTAAACAGCTTGAGTAATGTATTCAAAATCAGTAAGTATTGCCGCTTCAGATACCATGGCCTGAGTCGGGAAGAACAAATTCTACAGCATCTTACTCCAATTATTTTGGATTAAATACTAAAAAGAATTGATTCTAACATTCATATTATTGACTGACTCATAAGTGAAATCTCAAGATTTTTGACACATAATTCCTAAACAAGTATATACAACTATAGGGCATGAAGAAAAGCCACTGAAAAGAATATTTCAATCACTCGAAGAGATTTTTAAGTTAGATTTGAGTAGGGAAGCTATAACTATTGCTGATAGAGGCTGACAGGAAATCCTGGACCTATTGTCCATGGTTGTTACCGCTTGTCATCATGATGCTTCTACAAAATCAAGTGAAATCATGTCCCCTGTAAGATAAGAACCCGTATAACCGAAAGTTACCCAACCAACAAGAACAAGCACAAGTCACCATCAACAGAAATTATGAAAAGAAAGTTGTCTCTTTCACCTACATACATACATACATACATACATACATACATAGATACATACATACATACATACATACATACATACATACATACATACATACATACATACATACATACATACATACATACATACATACATACATACATACATACATACATACATACATACATACATACATACATACATACATACATACATACATACATACATACATACATACATACATACATACATACATACATACCCCACCTAGACAGCATCGTTTCATCCACAGGCAGGGGCACAGGCACACATCCTGATGTCAAAGCCAGCATCGAAAAAGCAAGACAGGCCTTCATGCATTAATCTCAAAACAGCGTGGAGATCTACTGCACTTCACTGCACTGCAATTAGCATAAAGCGTGAACAACATTCGGATTCTCAACACTAAGTCAGTCAAGTAAGTCAGTGCCTCCATGTGGTGGTTGAGAGACT